AGAAATTATTCCATATAATTAGAACTCAAAGAAAGTATCACTGTCTGCCAACAGGAACCAAATTTTCTCTTCAGTTCATAAGCTTTTTACCACTCAAAACCTCATCGTAAGGAGTTTTGTGTTTGTGGGTGGTGATAAATGTTTTTCTAATCTAGAGCTCAAAGAAAATGTGGTGGAAGGATACTGCTGTGGGTAACCTCAGGAATGAAAAATATCTTCAAAAATATTAAAAATAAAAGAGCAGATCATAGCTCTTAAGGCCCAATATGGTAAATCCTCAGTGGCCCTGGATCATGTAGGAATGAATCATTCTAGATAAGCACACATCCTGGATAGCTCAGGGTTAATATTCTAACTATCTTATTGTAAGAGTTTTATTCCTCTAATGGAGACATTTTCATGTCTTTTAAAACCATTGAACAGTTTGTCATATAAGCATAATTACAAGTGAAAATACAGATCAAATAAAGAGCTGAATGACTCTGTCATGGTATTACCACATGAAACAAATGTCTCCAGGCATTCACACTGACAATCCATTATGACTGTTATATCTTTTCAATATAGCACCCTGCATCTTCGTAGGTGTAATATGAGGGGCTCCTGGCTGCCCCTCCAGCAAATGTTAGAGCAGTTCCTGACTCTACCTTGTCATTGCTGCTCTTTTCCACTGTCAACAGGAAGGGCAAACTGCTATCCCTTTGTTGATTCTCACTTCCACCACCATGTGGACATGAGTGCCCACCCTGAGGTCTCAGGTGACCCCCGTGTTGCTGCCACTGTGATCTCTACCACTCTGCTCCTCTTTGCTTTTTCCACACTTAATTCTCAAAATGAGCTTCTCATGCACCTATCACCATTGGGTTGGAATGTCTTTTTCCTTCTATAAGACAAATCCACGAAGGAAGACACTGCTGGGTAAAAACACATTTGTATCCCAATTCTACTTTTAAGGAGAATTTCTTTATTCTTCCTTTTTTAAAAAATTACTAGTCATTCCTGCAGGTTGGTATTCTAAAAATCAAGCATTTACTGTATTATTATTATATATTCATAAGAAAAAAATCACAATTTAAAAAATTTTAATGGCAAGCTCTGGCATAGAAATTGGAAATCCTTGGTTCTTAGTCTAAACCTTGAATTGTTGTGTAATCAATTTCTAGTCAAATAATAAATTTCCACTTCAGTTTTGTTAATGATTATGATTAAGTCAGTAGCAAAAGAGTAAAGCATGTCATTTCTCTTTGGGAAGATGTGTAACAGCTTAACTGAAGGGACCCTGAATATGGTCAGGGTAATCAGCAGACTTGAGTTTACAACCCAACTTCAGCCCTTATTTTTGTGACTTTGGGAAAGTTACTTTGCCACTACAAGCCGCAGTTTCCCCATCTATAAAATGATATAAAGAAACCCCCATTAGAGAATTGTAAGGAATTTTTTTGGGGTAGGGTCTCACTCTGTTGCCTAGGAGTGCAGTGGCGTGATCGTGGTTCACTGCAGCCACAGCCTCCCTGGCTCAAGTGATCCTCCCACCTCAGCCTCCTGAGTAGCTGGGCCTAATAAGTATGCCATAATGCCCAGCTAATATTTTAATTTTTTTAGAGACAGGGTCTTGCCGTATTGCCCAGACTAGTCTCTAATTCCTGGGCTCAAGTAATCCTCCTGTCTTTGCCTTCTAAAGTGCTGGGATTACAGGCGTGAGCCACCATGCCCAGCGAGAGTTGTAAGGATTATAGAGTACTCACGTAAGTCATCAAGGAAAACGTTTGACACAGAGTGGGTACTGAAATGGGGGCGGAGATCTTACCCATTGCTGATCCTCTGGCAACAGACTAAAGATGACTGCACTGAGCCTCAGCTAGGAAAAGCAATTCTCAAATAATTGACAGCATGTAAGAACACACTTTCAAAGATAATGATCTTTTTTTTTTTAGAGAGATTCACAGTACTGTTTGGGTTACAGGATTCTGACTGAGCTTGCTATAAACTGCACACACACACACACACACACACAGCACACACACTCACACACAATGTAAACACATAAACGTATGCCACTGCCACCAGGACTATCAGCCAGTTAAATAGATTATGGTACATTTGCCCACAAATGTCTGTATAAAAAGCATCCTAGTTTCCTGTGGCTGGCTGTCGTGGTTGCTCCCAGCATGTTGGCCCTGATTAATGTGTGTGGGATGTGTGAGTGGGGGTATTGAAATATACTGTATCCCAGTGTCCAGCAAAAGGCCAGACGGTGTTCACATAAATAGTTCTGGTGCATTCTGTTTCAGTTTCCCGCGACATAAAATAAACTGTCACCTACAAATTGCAAGTAAACTGAGAAGACTGTTCAGTACGTATATAACGAAGCAACATCTAAATAGAAAACTGGGGAGTTTTTTTTTTTTTTTTTTATAAGTAAATGTGCTTAGACAGACTGTTACCTTACAGTGGAATAGACCACTCTCGTCTAGCATTGGTTGGCTTTCTTGGCCAACCATTTTTTTAATAACTACATTATTGAGATATAATTCATATACTTTACAACTCACACATTTAAGGTGTTTGATTCAATGGTTTTTAGTATACTCACAGAGTTGTGCAACTATCACCACAACCAATTTTAGAATATTTTTATCACCTCAAAAAGAAACACCATACTCATTAGCAGTCACTCGGCATTTTGCCCCATTTGCAGCCACAGGGAACCACCAATCTACATTCCATCTCCATGGATTTGCCTATTCTGGATTTTTCATGTAACTGGAATCACAGAATATGTGATCTCTTGTGTCCAGCTCAAGAGAGACTTAGCACCATATTTTCAAGATTCATCCATGTTAGAGTGTTGTCAGTACTTCATTCTTTTTCTTATTGAATAATATTTTATTGTATGGATAGACCACATTTTGTTTATCTGTTAGTCATTTGATGGATTCTTGGGTTGTTTCCACTCTTTTGCTCTGATGAATAATGCAGGTACATTCATGTATAAGTTTTTGTGTACACACATTTCATTTCTCTTGGGTAGATAACTAGGAGTGGAATTGTTGAGTAATATAGTAGGTAACTCTATGCTTAACTTTTTGAGGGACTGACAGGCTGTTTTTCAAAGTGGTGAAGGGGGGAATGGAGGCAGCAAACCACATTGCCATGTATGTACCTATGCAACAATCCTGCATGATCTGCACATGTACCCCAGGATCTAAAGCACAATATATATATATATATATATATATATATATATATATATATATATATAAACAAAGTGGCTGCAGCATTTTACATTCCCACCAGTAGTTTATGAGGGTTCTAATTTTTCCACATCCACAACAACACTTATTCTCTGTATTTTTTATCATGACTATTGTGGTGGGTGTAAAGTGGTATTTCCTTGTGGTTTTGATTCCCATATCCCTGATTGCTAAAGATTTTGAGCATATTTTCATGTTCTTATTGGCTAACCATATGTATGTTTCATGTGTTCGTTGGCCATGTGGAGGTGAATGGGGAGGAGGTGTGGGATGGTATTCAATAGAATTGTGTAGGAATCAGATACAGAGATGATATTCTATAGTCCAGTATGTTTTTCTTTCAGCTTGCACAATGAATGTTCTAAGGACTTTATGAGTAGCTTTTTAATCTTGAGCCTGGAATTTGTGAGCTAACTATAAATCATTTAACCAAACCATGATGAAATGCTATTTGACAAAATTCTGAATGAAGCAGTAAGATTAATAAGTAAAGACAACAAATGACTTCAACACCGTAACTTAAGAAAAAAACAAAACAACAAAAATAGAACTATAAGTCTTCTTTCCATTGATCAAAGCTGTTATCACTGGCTCCTGGGTCACAGATTGAGACTTCAGCATGGTTAGTCTGTCAAGCAGAGTTCAATGAAGTGAATGTGTGTGTGTGTGTGTGTGTGTGTGTGTGTGTGTGTGTGTGTGGTGGGGGGTGTGGGGGGAAGCGGAATGGAACAGTTTATAACAAAACCACAACCAGGTTCTCAATGTAGATCATGTGGCAAGCATGGTATAAGTTTTGTGGGTGAATTACAGTATTGGTTATCCTTGCCACAACTCTGCCAGGGTCTGTTTTAAAAGTTGTTGCTGTCTGTGGTGGTTTGCTTGTCTATAACAGAGAAGGGCAACAAAGTTTCTTCCATGTACAGTTGCTTCTTGCTCTGGTTAGTAGCCACGAGCAGCTTATAAGCATAAAACTCTCTCCAGGTACAACAGAAGCACCCTCAGTCATAGCTATAATAGACCCAGGAAGGGGAGATGACTGATGCAGTATTTACCCAATCAATAGGGGTCTATGAGGAGGCATGATAGAAAAGTTTTCCCAGTATGAATGCTGCTGCCCAAATTGAGAGTTGTAGAAATTGCTGTTCAGTGCCGGAAACAGACAGAAGCAGATTTAAAGGTAGTAGGACTACAAAGGAATCATCCATGATTTCTTCCTACCAGAGTTTACAAGATCTCTGAGGGTGGCAATGCTATAGGTATCCTGGCAATAAACGACCTCCTATTCTGAGCGTCTAAAAGGCTGTAACACAATTTCATCTCGTCTTTTTTTATAATTGAGGAAATTGATCATCACACACACACAGACAGACACACACAGACATACACCCTCCAACCCTCACACTACTTAACTGTTTCTATAGCTTTCGCTTGCTCCAGTATCCTTACTCTGTGGCCTGTAAGTCTGTGCCATTTTTCTTGACCACCCCACCCATCTCTCCAAAGGTCTGTTCTGCTACTGTTCCCCTTATTCCTTTACTCACTCTGCTACTCTCTTTGCTCTTTGTTTGAACCTGCCATGCCACTTTGTTCCTCAGCATCTTTACACAAACTCTTCCTTGTTTTCTAGAGTGCTTTCCCTATGTTCATCCACCTAATAATCTTCAGCCTGTAGATCTTGGCCTAGGCTTCACTTCTAGATATAATAACTAGGGCCACACTCAGGTAGATCCACAGCTTATAGGAAAGGGGGTGGGGGTTGTCTCTGGCTTGTACCCCATGATTCATTGGATATCTATGTCAAGTGTTCACTCAGGAGGAGCACAAGCAGGGACCTATGGCCACATGCCCTCTGGCCTCTCTGAGTCTTGCTGCCAAGTGCCAGGGCTAGAAAACAGTTGAAGTGGAGGACCCCCTTCCACTTCCTCCAAGGTGACACTGTGATAGTAGAGCAGGACATCTATACTGGGGGGACACAGATTCGCAAGCAAGGAGCAGTGGAGGGAGACTTTTGTGTACACTTAACTTTTATAATGTATACTGCTGGAATATGGGCAGACTATAGTGGACTATTTTTAAAGAAAAGGATCTGGTTTTAAATTTATAGGTGGTTTTGTGATTTTAAAAGAAGGGCTACAGAAAATAATGTTGTAAAGTAAATGATCACCATCTAACATGCCTTTTGCTTATTATACAAATAAAAATTATAACTAAAAACACTTCACACTGACTAGGATGGCTATTATCAAATAGACAAAGCTGGGAGTGGTGGCACATGCCCATAGTCCCAGCTGCTCAAAAGGTTGAGGTTAAAGGATTCCTTGAACCCAGGAGTTCAAGACCAGCCTGGACAACACAGCAAGATGCTGTCTCTAAATACTACTACTACTAAAAAAAATAATAACTACAAGAAGTATAGGTGAGGATGTGGAGAAACTGGAACCCTTGAACACCATTGTGGGAATATAAAATGATGCAGTCACTTTGGAAAACACTCTGGCAGCTCCTAAAATAGTTAAACATAGAGTTCCCATAGTGACCCAGCAATTCCACTCCTAGTGTATACCCATGAGAAGTGAAAACATGCATCCACCTAAAACATATACACAAAAGTCCATAGCAACATTATTCATAAAAGCAGAGAAACTGAAAGTACCACAAATGTCCATTACCTGATGAATGGATAAGCAAAGTATGATGTTTCCATACAACTAAATATTATGTGGTGATAAACAGAAATGAAGTACTAATACATGCTACAACACGGGTAGACCTTGACAACATGCTCAGTGAAAGCAGACAGGCACAAAGAACCATGTATTATATGATTACATTTATGTAAAATGTTAAGAACAGGCAAATCCAGAGACAAGAAGCAAATTAATGGTTGTCAGGGGCTCAGAGTAGCGTTGGTGGAGGAGATAAAAAGACAGTGGCTGCTAGTGGCGTGGAGTTTCTTTTAGAGGAACAAAAACATTCTAAAATTAGCTAGTGGTGCTGGTTGTACAAGCCTGTAAATATACTGAAACCCATTGAATTGTACACTTTAAATGAGTGAATTTTATCATATGTGAGATGTATCTCAATAGAGCTTTTAAACAAATGTTGCTATACCTTGAGTTTACAGAGCAAGATGTCCCTACATAACTTTGTTTTTCCACGGTTAACCACTTAGCAGGAAGGCCTCTTAAATGAATGAACACATTTCCGGCTCTCACAAGATAGTCTTACTGATTGCTACGAGACTAAAAATCCACCTGAACGGAACCATAGTGTCTGGATGACCTTGATGAGCAAGAGAATGATAAATACAAGTTAGAAAATTTTCAAAAAAGAAGGGAGGAAAAGAAGTTAAAGTGGGAATAGGGTGTCACCTCCGTGCTAGGAAAAAACAAAGAGAAACAACAACAACAAAATGGGTGAAAAGTTGTCTTTAGTAGAGCCTCTTTAAACAAAGGGAATGCTTTCAACAGTCCCAAGCAAATTTCAGTGTCACATAATTAAAGCCAAAATATCCCAAAATAGGATGAGGAAGATAAGATTATGGCCCTATTGCTGTGACTTCATTATATAGAATATAGATATTGGGCCTGTGTCACTGGCAGACATTATGTATATATATAACATATATAAATATATATGAAATATATAAACATATATTTATATGTTTACATGTTATATATTTATGTTTATGACTATATCATAAAAATATAAATATATAAAAAGAAATAAATATATTTGTAGGAAGATAACTTTATTTTTTTTTAGTATAATTTATACAGCATAAAATTTACCCATTTTATGTGTATGATTCAATGATATTTGAGTAAATGTACAAAATTGTGTAATCATACTATTAATTCAGTTTTGTAACATTTTAATCAAATTATATAGACAGTCCTGGTCACTGCTCAGATGTGTTTTTGCTTTTGATTTTAGAAAGCTGGTTTCTTAGAAGTCTGGTCTAGTTCAGTGGGATGTTTACATGTTAACTACAAATGGGTGCTTGGTCAGATCACTGAATCATGAACAACTAACATAAAAATAAAAAAGTGTTTCCCCTCATTTATTACATTTTGAGCTTTCTAAGAGGTGGCCTAGAAAGGAAAAAAATATACCATTACTAATATATCTTAAGTTTGATTGTATAATATTGATTTTAATCCTTTACTTGCAAATAAGTGCTTTTTGGTTTTCTTATTAATGCATACTCTAAAACAACTTCATTGAAATGTAATTTACATTCTACAAACTTCACCTGTATATTTACTGAGTTAGGTAACCATCATCATAATCCAATTTTACAACATTTTTGTCACTTCAATAAAATCCCTGGAGCTCACTGACAGTCACTCTCCTTTCCCAACCACAGCCCCAGGAAACCACTAATCTATTTTCTGTTTCTATGGATTTCTGGAAGGCATTATACTTTCACACACAGATAGAAAGATATATCAAAATACATCTCTCTTTTAACAAAATCCTAGCTCTACGCCAGAATATCAGTGTCTGTGATCTTTAAAATTTTTAAGTAATAACTAAAAGTTGCCACAAAGCCTCTGAAAAACACTACCTAAAATAACAAGTTTCTCCACCATAATTTTAAAGCTTATAATAACCAATTAATAGATAGCAGTTTACAATTATGTGACATTTTTCTGATTAAAGCCAAAAGTTATTGATTATACCCTGCTCCACAACTAACCGGCCTCCCACCAAAAACAAAAATCCAAAACACTTTAGAGCACATATTGTTCATTTAATTTGCAGACAAAACTCCTGGTCTCCTTCAAATTTAAATCAAAAGCTGAATCAAGCAAAGGAAACTTCCAAAAATGACATCCTATTCTGCAGCTTTTTAGAGCTACAGAAACTTTCCTAGACATTAAATTCTCTTTAAAGATAATCTGGAATTATGTTAGACTAGTTTAAAAACCACCAGTTTTCATAGCAACATGATAATACTGTGGTCATTTCCAAGTTAATTATAGATCTGTCATTTTAAGGAATAATCACTAATTGAGATCTTTTTATTTAATTAATGAAGTAACATTATACATCTGCAACAAAATAACCCTTTTCCCCTTAATTGCCAATGGAGAGAATTCTCACCATGGTAATTTGAAGACTACCATCATGTATACATATATCATAGTTCTCAAGAAAATATTGTTCCCAAATTGTCTTTTTCTGCTAAAGACAATTTATGAAATTGAGTCATTTCCACATAACTCTCCAGCACAGCACCATCTGTGAAACTAGATAAATCCTGTTTCAATTTGGGTTTGCCATAAAACACAGCACTCTTTTCAAGCCAGTCCATGGACTTCTGATAGCAGCCTTCACAGGCCACAGGTTGCCAGTTTCCAAATCTAGGATGCTGTGGCTCTCACAAAGGTGCTGACCCAGTTTCTATTTTCAACTGGAATTTCCTCCTCTGGGGTCATTTGATCTCCACCCTCAAAGACATTTTCCTGGTTCTCTGTTCGATGCCCTGACCTAGCCCCTTGCTTCAAAACCAAAAAGAGTTCCAGGTTCATCCTCCTGCACAGTCCAGTGAGACGAATACTCATGGATGTTATGTTTTCAATCTGGTGGGAACCACAGTTTTGTAAGCCTCTGTGAGACCCTCTTAGAAGACACCAAGGTGACATTTACTCAGGAAGCTACTGAGATCTAAGACAAGACCTGCAGGAAATGATAGCGGGAGGCCATATTGTAGAGCTAAAGCTGTTAAGACGTCTTCATTCAAAGGGTCACAAGAATGTGGAAGAGTCAGCCAAAAGAAACATCACAAAGTATAAGACGGGGCCACATCCTTTGGCACAACACTGGCTGCATTGGCAGGACCCAGAGATGGCTCACCCCCCAGCTCTTGTGGCTGAGCGCTCAGTGAGTTACACGGTTTAAAGAACAGGAGACTGGCGTTTTTAGAGTCAGCTCCTGGAGGCCTTTTACATTCTTGCCTCTGAGGGAGTTCTGGATACAGTAATGTAAAAATCTCAAATACATCCAAAGAACTAGCATTTTAAACCCGTGAGTAAATTATGCTTTTCTGAGTTTAAGTCTCCTTTTTGCACTGGCAAGAATAGCAATGTTTATGAAAATTATTCTGCCTATAATAATTGCAAAATAAACCATGAAACAGATACTATTTTTAACCTAAAATTTTTAAAGCATTTGCCATTGATGTAGAGATTGGACAAGGCAAATAGGTTTTAGATACTATACTTGCAGATGCATCTTCTTATTCATGAAGAAGCCTTAGAGTAAAAATTGGATACTATCCTTTTTAAAAAAATGTTTGCCTTAGTGCTACACACATACCCAGTTCTCCACATATACTGGTGAATCAATCAATGTTCACTGATATTTTGCCCTTATCTGAAGTATATCCAGCATTCCGCTCCATACCAACAATGTGTGTCTCTTTCTTTTGCCTTCATACTGATGTAACAGTAGACCTATCTACAGTGTCTGTGGTAATTTAAGACATAGCTTTAGACTAGTGATATGCAAACTTTTTCTGTAAAGGGCCAGAGAGTAAACATTTTAGGCTTTGCAAGCCATGCAGTCCATTGCAACCAACCACTCAACTCTGCTATTGTAGTATAAAAACAGTCAAAGACAATATGTCAACAAATGCCCATGGCTGTGTTCCAATAAAACTTTATTTTTTGAACACTAAAATTTGTATTTCATAAAATGTTTGCATGACATAAAATATTCTTCTTTTGGTATTTTTTCAACCATCTGAAACGTAAAACTGATTTTTAGTTCATAGGAAATGCAAAAGCAGGCAGTGGTCTGGATTTAGCCTATGGGCCATAGTTTATTGACCCCTGATTTAAGAACTGAGCTACTGTAATATAGCAGACAGTCTACTAGTTATGATCATGTACAGAGCAAACTAGGAAAAAAAAAAAAGCAGGGCTTGGCAACTGTCCAATCAAGTTGCCATAATAGAGGAAGATATGGTAGATGTTCAAACTTCAAAGAGACGAGATTGTGTGTGTGTACATTAAGTGCACTGCTTTTGATGTAGTTTATCCATTTACATATCAAAATTGATCAAATTAACAATCTAATTGCCAAACGTTGCCTCTGGTGTGTTTGACCTAAAGGACTAATGTATTTTTCTTCCATTCGTAAATCACTTCATCCTTAATTTCTTCTAGGTTTTGAAACAGTACCTAAATTCAGAAATCTTTTAAAAGTGACACTAGTATATAGAAGCAGATAAAAAATCTCCAGGGAAATGTTGGTCAAGGATAGAAAATTTTAGTTAGACAGGAAGAGTAGGTTCACATTCCTTGTTCAACGTGGTGACTACAGTTAATAACAATATATTGTATATTTGAAAACTGCTAAGACGATAGATTTTAAGTGTTCTCACCACAAAAAAATAAGTGTGTGAAGTAATGCATATGTTGATTATCTCAATTTAGCCACTCTGCAATGCACACATATTTCAAAACATCACATTGTACATCATATATTTAATTTTTAATTATCAATTTAAAAATAAATTCTAAAAAGTCTCCAGGGAGGCGATTCTGAATGGTTTCTTTTTGATAGTTTGA